AAATATTTATTCTAATCATTGAAAAAGTTGGATTCTTTTTCTCTTCTCAGCAGTCAATTTCGTGTTTATTGTTTAAGGAAAAACAGCGGAAAATCAACGAACCGTGCAGCCACAATCCAAAGAAAGCTGTCATTTATGCAAAGAGATGAAAAGGAGAAACTTGGCAGCTTATATAAGAAGTAAATCACGGAGCGATTCCTGTCACGAAGGGATCAACGAGGAAGAAGAAGAGACTGACGTGACATGCAACGAGAGGAAAGTCGCAGATGCCAACCGAAATAAATCGGCGAAGTAGTTACGCGTGCAGACAATCCTAGCCTTTAGATATTACGAATAATGGACGAATCGTAATCTTTAGGTATAACGGTCACGACAATAATTTTATAATTGCTTTTAATGACGATAATATTAAGCTTACATTTAAGGCTCAGTCACAATGAGAGGAATAAGGAATAAGATAAAGGAATTAGGAATAAGGCATATTGCATCTCACTTTAATGTACGTGTATTGATGAAGTGAGATGCGACATTCCCTTATTCCTTTATCTTATTCCTTATTCCTCTCATTGTGACTGAGCCCTTATGACCACTGAATTCACACATATCTGTTTCTGGAAATACGTTATAGAACGATAAAACAGAATCGAGTCTTGAAACTCTTTTGTATTTTACATTATGCACATGCGCAACGTTTTTTCCCCCCAAATTAATTAGACACATGAATATTAAATTGGAATAACTATAGATGTTATACCTTATACCCCCAAGCAGGTATGAGTCAAATGAATTCCCAGAAAGAATCAGATTATATCGAAGTGTGCGTGGTAAACAGGAATATTTTATCATTACTCCATTCATTCTTTCAGTTATACATTATGGTTAATCGCACGCTAGTCGTTTAACGAATATTCATGTAAATATAAATGTAAATACGCTCCCAAATGTCAATTCTCGCTAAGACCGTTTATTACGGCCGTCAAATTTTGAAAATTATATCCATGCTTGCACAAATTGAATTCATGCTATTGAAAAAGAGAAAGAAAGAACATATCACTGCAATCGTAATTTTAGAATCAGTTGCTATCTTGCTTCAGATAATAACTGCAAATATATCTAGAATGAAAAATGCAGCAAAATCGATTTGGAACTTCAATAAAGTTAATTACAATAAAAGAACCTCACAGATTAACTGCTTGATATATGAGACTGAATACACGATTATGTATTTTATAAGCACAGCGAAATAAGTTTTAGTTTAAGTATATGTAATACACTACATATAGCACAATAACATACAATGTACTTAGTTCTGAAAAAAATAAGATTTTAATATCTTTTTATTGTGGCAGATGCTAAGTTAAAATTAAATCGATATATTTCACCAGTTATTTTACTTGTAACAATTATTTCTTAAGGTATGTATTTAAGTTATTGTATGATCGGATATAACAATCCACAAGCATTTTTATTTTACATACTGGCATAATTTGAATGTTACAATTACTTGTAAATATTAAGTAAAAAAGGATTATAAGGTATAATAATAATAGTCTGAAGCATATATGTCTTTTTTCTAAATTATTGTGTTTTTAATACAATCCTGAATCCTGATAAATTTTTTTCTTTTTCCTTTCCAATAGAAAAATATCTGTCATATCTCAAAACTATGTAAATTTATCTGTACTGACAGTCACGCAGAATGCCATTTCAGGCAATTATAAAGTGCACGAAGTAGAAAAGTATTGGTAATAATGTTCTATAAGAGAGACTAGAAACATGTAAAGATTGTCTATTCAACACGAAGTAAGTCTATTTATTTATATTCAAAGATATTTTTGGGCCCTCAATTTGTAAAAGAATGCGTTTATTGAACTTGTAATAATTTCCGCATTTTCGTTAATCCAAAACATGCACAGATAAAATAGTACTTACCTTTAACAGCCATGTCAACACTGATTCACGGTACGGCACAAAACCCTGTTTACGATTGTTTGTGTTCTCCGTAAGTGATGAAATTACCTTCCCCAAGGTAAGTAAAGATTTGTTAATAGACACACCTTCCTGTTGAACAAACCAATATACATTATACAATGTATCAGTTATTCGACGCATGTGGGATAAAATTACTATGTCAGAAACTGACTCTTAATCTGTCACCAGTTGCAGAAGTTTGGCTCAATCTCTCGCTACCAGCTAAGTCAACCAAGTTAATTTTGCTGCGACGATTAGCATCGAGTGGCTTGCAATCCAACTCATTATCCGCATGCGCTTGAGTTAGTATAATACTGAAAATGCTGTGAGATCGTGAGCTCTTCTCGTTCATACCAGTCGCGGCTGTGGCTCTCTGCGAGTTTCCCACTTTAAGCCAAGTCTAAAAAAAATTACATTCACAAAGAGATGAATATATATATATTTAGAAAACTAGTCGTAATCGCGCGTTCTTATAAATCGTTATTGTGAAATTATAAAAGTACCTGTAGGTCTTTGTAATTTTGCACACAATGCTGGCTCAAATCGACGACATAGGGGCCGAAGGCAGGATGCTCCCTTACTTTAAGGGGAGCTTTCTTCGATGCATTATTTGTATTTGCTAAGAGATCGTGTATCTTTTCATTATATATCTCGAAGTAGCTGATTTCTACGGTGGTCTCGACCTGTGGATTGTCACGTGCTCGTGTAAATATTTCCTGGCAAAATCTTGGGATGATACCGACTCTTTCGTCGAATGGCGTCGCGCTTAACTGCGCGGATTCTGTGCCCATTAAACTGTAACTTTTTCCAGATCCCGTTTGTCCGTACGCGAACAAGCAGACGTTGTAACCCTCGAAAGCATTTTGCACCAAAGGTAACACCATATTGCGAAAGACAACCTCTTGACTGGCGTGACCAGGCGTAAGCGGATCATCGTGCGAAACAAAGCAATGATCGTACATGAAAGTGTGATGCGCAGATTCGCATTCCACGATAACGTTCTGACCGTTTCCCTGCACGACTGTTGTGACCTTTGGATCGTTTGATTCCCTGAAATTACAAATATTGTGAGTAATAAAATACCGTTTATCAATGTAACATAGAATAGAAATAGAAAATAGAAAGAATTAAAAATCTTAATGTATATACAAGTATATTAGTTTTTAAAAAAATATAAATTTAATACCTAAATATTTTCATCTCAATTATAAGTGACAAAAAGAAGAGTAATATAAGCATGTAGTAAATATGAAAATTTCTTGCAGGATGATTAGTCTAATCTCACTTACTTGCCAGTCAAGGGTCTAATACGTATTCCAACTGTAAGATTGCTGCTTTCACCCTCGTACATTGTCTGTTCCCCTATCACTACGTCGTCAATTTTGTGGGATGGAGTTTCCAAGTGGACTGCGTTAAAACAGTCCGGGGTGCTCTGCGACAGAGCATGATCGCTGAAGTAACGTTTCACAGGCGTTCTCGCATTGGGTAAAATATTGAACTTGGCATCAGCACTGGGCGTATTTGTCACTCTTGTATGCTTGGGCGTGTAAAACTGTATGGCAGACGTCTTATCGCTGGACAATCCACCAGCAAATCTTCTCTTGACCGGAGTCTTTAGATTTCTGTCATTGGACGTGACGTTGGAGACTGTGTTTTCCTGCTGTGGGTTTGTAGATTTTGGACACGGTTCTGCGTCGGACAACTTGTTCGGAGATCCCAAGATCTCTGCTATCTCGAGTTTCGACGATACCTTTTGCAGAGGACATTGCGTCAACTTGCTTGTACTCTGACTCTTTGTTAAAACCGCTTTGGCTGGTTCATTGGACAAGGGAGGATACAAATTCTTCCTTCTGCAACAGAAAAGTGTTGTTATTTTATTCTGGCAAGTTTCTTTAATTTAACGAGCGTCGTAAAATGTAAAAAATAAGAACGTTAGACTTCTACGGCTTGAAAATGAAAACATTTAATTATTATTTATATTGTATTTAACTTGATATATTTTATACATAAAGTATATACGTAACTATATGTATTTTACTTATATAAATAAAAAGAGAACATATTCATCTTATTTTCGGTAATGATGCACGATTTATGCAACGTTTATCTCGTTGACACGCAATAATTTTCAATCATCACGCGTCGCGCGTTAACGGTTAAAAACAATGTCAACCGAGCTTGGCCTTACGTTTTTATCGCGGGGACGATGTCCTGCTTGGCGGTGCTCCTCGGCGAGGTCGAGAAGATAGCCTCGCAGTAGCCGCGACTCGTGGATTTCTGATTTTGAGACATTTCTCGGTGGGAAAATCACGGAGAAAAGAGCCACCCGACAACACGATGGGAATTTAAACGGATTTGAGTTTCACGACCTAACTTTACGAAGCCCGGCACTCACGGCCGTGGTGTACGAAGTGTATACAGACGTGATGGACGACAACACGAGGGATTCGCCTTCACGGTCTGCCATTTTCGGGCCAACTATGCCGCGCTTTTAAAAAACGTCATGTCAATTTATCAAATATCTATGCAGTTTATTGGTGAAAAATTAATTTAACTCAATAGAGAGAGAGAATTTATATAAGTAATGTTATTCTAAATAAATCTGTGAAATCAGTATAATAATAATAAAATATAAATCTAATAAATCCCTTCGAGATGCGGATCAATCAAGAATGTTGTCCAATGATGTCCAAACTCTTGCCGACTTAACCTCGTTGTCGGAGTCCTCGACGAGAGTCTTCTTACGCATGACGCCACCTGCGAGGTCTTCTGAGTCCGGGTACAGTATATATGTGATCCGGGGGTTGGTGACCTACAAAGTGGAGATTCAGTGGAGTAGTGGGTAGTGGAGCAGTAGTGGAGAGACCAGGAAGCGGCAGCAAAGACAGCGAGTGAGGTTAGTCGGGCATACATGGTTTAGGCTATTTCCAACGTTTGTTAACTTCTAACCGACCGTTAACTATCGAAATAGCCAACTTCTATTTTAAAAAGTTAACGGTCCGAAGTTAACAGACGTTTGGAAATAGTGGCCCATATTTGACGTCTTCTGGCAGGGTGGCATCTGTACATTACTTTCGTGCTTCCGCAGGCACGCATGTCCACGTCACATCGGCGAGCGAACGCATCTCGATCGTGCCAGCGAAATCGCGGAGGGGACCACAATGACAGAGGATAACGGGCGGGCTCTCGCGAGAAGATGGATCTCGAGGATAATACTCGCTACGTTTCTCGCGCTCATCATTTTGAGTCTGCCGGCGATGTGCCAGCGGCACGAGTCGCCGAGCTTCAAGTATTCCAAGGAAGCCAACGAGATCTACTCGGATGAACGACATCAGTATCAGCCTTATGATCATGATCACGATCACGATCACGTTCACGTTCACGATCATGAACATGAACATGAACATGAAGAACATGATCCGATACGGTATGATCCACATGGCCATGAGTACCCTCCTCCGAAAGCTTCGACAAAACCAAGCCCTCCGCATATTAAGAATTACAAAGATATTGTTGTAAGAGCCATTGGGTCGACCTTGATCATATCTGCCGCACCTTTCCTCATATTGTTCTTCGTGCCGCTTGACAACACCGAGCAAAGTGAGTGGCTGCTCAAGATCCTGCTGAGCTTCGCGTCTGGTGGCCTGCTAGGCGATGCGTTTCTTCATTTGATTCCACACGCGATGATCCCTCACTCACACGGCTCTTCAGAAACACACTCACACTCGCATTCCAATTCTCATGACGAACCAGGACATCACAAACATGATATATCCGTCGGTTTGTCCATATTGTTAGGGCTAATAGTATTTCTAATGGTGGAGAAGGCAGTACGTATTGTTAAGGGCGATCATGGCCATTCACATGAGAAAAAAAATGTTTTGGTAGAGAAGAGAGAGGGGAAGAAAGAGGAGAGGAAAGAGGAGAAAAAAGAGGGGAAGAAACAGGAGAAAAAAGAGGAGAAGAAAAATAGCGGTAAAGCAGTTTCCAAGGCGTGCAAGACACCTGAAAGCGATATCAAGATCGCCGGCTATCTGAACTTGGCGGCGGACTTCCTGCATAACTTTACAGATGGTCTGGCTATAGGAGCCAGTTACATGGCTGGAGACAGTATCGGTTACGTAACGACATTCATGATATTGTTACATGAAATTCCTCATGAAATTGGTGATTTTGCCATCCTGATACAAAGTGGATACAGTAAAAGTAAGGTGAGATAAACGGATGCAGACATAAATATATTACATTTAAGAACAGATTAAACTATACGAAATATTATAAAATACAATGAAAGATTTCAGTTGCAATCTCTATTTTGCTGACTTTCCTAATTATATTTTCTTGTAAAGTTCAACATAAAAAAATTTTGCAGTTTTAAATGGTTTTACAGGCTATGAAGATGCAGTTGGTCACTGCTATAGGAGCTTTATTAGGAACTTTTATTTCTTTGTTGGCAGAAGGAATGGGTAAGAAATATATAATGGCAACATTTAAATAAACATGCTAGATTTTAGTTTGTATATCTCGTCTAATTTTATCTTGTGCGTTCTAGGTGATTTTGCAACAAAGTGGATTCTTCCTTTTACAGCAGGAGGCTTTATTTACATTGCAACCGTTTCTGTAATACCAGAACTTTTAACTGCCACCAAACTTTGGCAATCAGTTCAGGAGATATCTGCACTTCTTGTCGGAGTATCTCTGATGGTTTTTATGTCAAACATCGAATAAGAAATACATTTGTTCAAATTTATTTTATTATTCTCATTCTCAGTTTATTTCGTTCTTACTCATTAGCTCTGAGAGCATTTCCAATAGATAAATAATAGGGTAGACAAGAAATTTGCCCTTTGCAAGCAACAGTAATTGTTGAATTCAATGTGTAAATAAAAAAAATTGTGTTCGTCTTGATGAAGAACAGGATTGTGAAAATAGAAAAGAACTTTTACGGCAACCGTTATTTTTACATTGAAAAACAAACTCGGTGATTTTGTGAAATATAAAACATTTAAAGATATAAAAACATCATGAGATCTATAATTACAAGATAATGTTACGATATTAATTTATTCAATATAGCTAAATATTAACTATATAGTGTGTTTGATAATCTATATATTTTGTCATAAAGAAATTCAATATTCACACATTTGTTCCTATATACAGGGTGT